AAAGAAAAAAAAAAGGGAAATTCGTTTTTCAGAAAACAGAAAACGAAAATAAGAAAATGAAAACACCTTTTTTTCGTTTTCTGATTTCCACAAAAAGACAAAAACGTTTTTGGTTTTGTTTTTTAAAAAAAATTGCACCAAACACGTTTTTAACACCCGTTTTCATTTTTTTGCTTTGAAAACCGTGAAAAACGAAAACGAAAACGCAAACAAACGGGCCCGATGTCATCCGATCCGTCCATACTTTTGACCTGACGATCACTAAAAATCTCAATTTATTATTAATTATTATTAATTTTTATATTTACTTATTAATTTTAGGTTTATTTGTAATTTTGTCCATTTTAACTCAATTTCATACTAAAATTCTGATAGTGCTTAAATAAAAATGCTATAAATGACTCAATAAAAAATAAAATTTAACAAAAATGCACTAAAATAAAATAAAATCACACCGAATTAAGGAAAACAAATCAAACAAAATAAAATTGATTTGATTTAAACACATTAAAATAACTTAAAATCTTCTTTATTTGTCTTTTGCTTCAGATCATTTTACTCGCGTCTTTATTTCTTTCACGCCTTTTTTCTCTTTTTCCTCTTTTTTTTTTTTTTTTTATAATTTGACAACCATTGATTTAAATGAATCACGTGCGTAATAAAAACTAATAATAATAAGGAATTATTTTCATAAATACCTCTGAACTATGTATCTTATTTCAAAATGCTCACTGATTTTTTAAAACGATTCAAAACATCCCTTCATATATAAAAAAATAGATCAAATTGTCTCCTCTATTTATCTTCGTTTATAATTTTAATTATTTTGTTGACATGTTACGCATTAAAAGTTAAAAAAAATTATTTTAAAGTAATAAATTCTTGTTATGAAAAAAATTAAGACAAAATTAATACTTTTTAATCTCTACCGTTGAGATCAAGCAATCTAATCTCAGCCCTCCATTTAAATACATTTGAAGGAAAAAAAAAAAAAGCTAACGTTGATAAAGCTCATCATCCTTGAGCCGCCTATCACAACTCCGACCGCTGCCGGCACCATCAAACGCTGCTCCTCCGTGTGCCAACAACCATGCGAGCTTCGGAGCGGCGCTGTAAGCACGTTTGAAAGCAACTGTGAAGAACTAGTGAAGAACATCTCCCTTGACTTTGCTTTTAGGCCTTGGGAGATTGCAAACATTGTGGAGGATTTCCTTCTGTTGGTGTCCTGCCTTTCCATGATCACACGTGAAACTAAGTTCGCTGGAGGTTGTTGCAATGTTTTTGTTACCATGGCTCGTTTTTGGAAGAAGAGTTCTTACACTCTCCCCAAGGTTATCGATGACATGAATGATCATGCCTATATTATCAAATTTTATACACGGATCAACATAGAAATCAGACGAATGAGAGGTGTAAATAAGAAAGAGACAGAGAGATTCGGTGGTGGAAGGTGGCCTCAACTCGCTAGAGCCTTTGCTGCATTATCTGTGGCGGCGCTAATGGAGGATTGGTGCGGCGACGACTGTGGTGTTAATGGAGGCTGACGACTGCTCTTTCTACGGTTTTTAGACTTAGTGGCTGTTTGATTTAAGGATTTTAAAAGAATCATAATTCTAGTTCAAATTAATATTATAAATTTGATTTTACTCACTCAAAATTAATATTTTATAAAATTAAAATTTAAGCTCTTATACCAAATGAACTTATATAATACCTAAAATAATCAGGGGCTGAAATTAGTTTTGTGTAGATGAATAGTGAAAATTAGTTAAGGTACTTTTGCAATTTCATATTTTAAGTTAAACATTAAATTATTTATCATTTTTTTTTGTCATAATGAGAATTTATATTTAAAATACATTTTTTTTTAAATCTTATTACATCGGCATTCCGTTAAAATTAGTTAGACAGAAACAATAATTTAACTTATTTTTTATATATTAAAGAATATTTTAAATTATTTTAAAAAATTAGAGACGCTTTAAAATAAGATATATTTATAAAAATAATCCAATAATTGAGTGAAAGAATAACCAGTCTGCCCTGAGTGGGCCTTTACTCTTGTCTTGGCGGAGGAAAAAGTAAGCAAATCAAATCAAAGCTCCCTTCTTTACCTTGTGGAAGAAGGTCCCTTCTTTACCTTGTGGAAGAAGTGGAAAAAAGTTGAAAAAGAAGTGAAAGAGACGATCAAACTACAATCTGAGCTTTATATATAAAGTTTCCAGTGTTTCCTTTGCATTATTCTTGCTTTTAGGCTCTGAACATTCTCAAAAGAATTTGCATTTTTCTTTATTCTTTATCATGGCTTACATCCCACCTCACAAACGACACTCGAAGTACACAAAGACGTCTTCACTGAGTCCAGAGCTGCTTTCTCCTCTGTTCAACAACAATCTGAAATTCAGGCCTTCAAGAACTAATTTTAATGCACAGAAACAGAGAAGTGGAAAGATTGTTTATGCAGAAAATTCTATATCCAGGTGGTTCACGGTTGGTTTGGACGATCGTAATCAGTTTCCAGCTTCTGTTCATCTCCAACCTGTATCCTTGAAATCTGTCGAGGGCAAAGTTGGTGAAAAGCCTCTAGCTTTGATCAACAGCGAGATAGGTGATTTTCACTAATTGGGTTTGTTGATTTTGTTTCTGGGTTTCTGTAATTTTTTTACTTTTTGGTCTTGGGTTTGTTTGATCTTTGCTTTACAGCAAATAGCAGAGGGGATTTAGAGACGTCTTCTAGGAATCCATGGGATTTCATAGCGGAAAATGTGATAGAAGATTTGCTTTCTTCTTTTGAGTATGTGAGGAACGAAATGGAGTCTCAGAAACTTGAAGAAGTGAGGCCAACTTTAGTTGCTCGATTTGGCAAAGTTCTTTTTCGTGGGTTAGTGTTTCTTTGTCTATTTTTACTATTTTT